GCGCGCCCGCGGGCGGCGGCCGGGGGATTCCGGGGACTGCAGGGGAACGCCTGTCAATGGACGCGGTCGGTCGCTCCGAGCTGGCGGGGCGGCCGGGTCTTCGGGGACTCGTGGCTCCCCTCACTGCGTGTCCTTGGGAATTCCTCCTGCACCTCTGAGGCTACAGCGCCTGGTGCTGGGAGTTTGAATCCGCCTTTGAAGTTCGCATTTGGCGGAGTGCTGCAGGATTCAGGACCGGATGTGTCAGCCATTCAGTTTCAAGGCGGTGGGGACTGCGCCCCTCAGCCCCGCTGCGTGGCGGGGACAGGGACCGTGCGGGGCTGCGGGCTTCGCTTGCAGGGGTCTTCCGGTGCACCAGAAGTAGGATGTGCGTAAGATAGTTTACACCAACGGCCCTTTGGCCTCGCCCTTTTTTGGCTACTGGAAATTTTTCTGTTAAGGGAAATTCTTTGAAGTATATGAAACTTCAAAAATTCTGATTCAGCTATACAGAGGCAGAATCTTGACGAATGTGTGAAGTTGCTAGATATGTTTTTGTGATAGTCGCCCGGTGACCCGGTAGGATTTCTTGACATTTGCTATGAGTGGAGAGTGTTTGTGTGTCGAATCTGACAGTTAGGAATCTTTGGTTTCGGTTAGTTATCAAAGTAATTTGACCCTTTTTTTTGTGCCCTGGATTGTTTAAAATCACGGTCAATTTATTACTCGGAGGTGGTTTCCCTCCCCAACCCCCGCCCCCAGTGGTAAAAAGTGTGCTGAGCCCTGCCTGTTCCCTGGCAGTGTGGGGAAGAAGGGAGGTAGTGGCCCTGCTGCAGCTCTCCGTGTGCACTTGTACACGTTCTCACAGCAGATACTTTCCTTTAGGATTTCCTGTTCCTGTGAGGATTAGAAAACCAGAATAAATCTTAGGTGGCATCTGTTACTATAGATCATCTGGAGGTGAAAGAAGAAGAAAAGGCTAACTCCAACTTTGAGGAATTAATTTTCTCTAGTCTTATGAACCTATTTTTTTTTCTATGTGATAATACAGCTTGCCACACTTAAGCATTGTAGTCAGTATAATGACCCGAGTGAAGAACAAGCAGAGCTACACAATGTCTGTAGAACTTCAGTGTGGCCTCTGGACACCAATCAAGGACAAGGTGAAGGCAGGTAGAACTGACTTGACCGAGCAATCTGGGATTCATTTTCGCATTTCTCTCTCTCTCTCTCTCTCTCTCTCTCTCTCTCTCTCTCTCTTTTTCTCTCTCTCTTTGAGGAGTGGCTTGTAATTAATTGTACAGGCAGCCTCCAAAGTAAGAACTGTTAGCTAGGATGCTGGTGGTACATCTCACATGTAATATGGGAAAGCTTCATTTGCAGTAATATTGATTCTCTATCTTTTCTAGATAATAGTGATATCCCCCCACCCCGTGTTGTAGTACTAGGTTGAAATTTTTTTTCATTTGCTGGTATAAAGCTTACATCACAAAGAAGAGGTATTCACAATTATTGCCATGTATTTTGTGTTTCCTGTTGCAATGCTTTATTGTTTTATCACTTAAAGTCTTGGGGAAATGATTGTACAGCAATCAGATCAAATCCCAGCTGAACAGTGTTCCCCTTTTCAGGAAGGTCATGCTCATGTGTTAAAGAGGAAAATTTCGTACTCTTATTTCGCGGGTTTATTTTCAGTAGTAGTGAAGGGCTGATGACCCTTTCTTTGTGTCTAAAGACCTATTGCATCATTTTTGCTGTTGTTTTTTAAAAACCAGTTTCCAAATTTGAGTCTAAAAATTCAAAGTGTAGAAAATACACATTTGTAAAAAATAATTTATGGGAAATTTATTAAAATCAAAGATTGTCTGCCCCCTCTCCTTCAGAGAAGTAACTGAAGTCAGTGAAAGTTTGTGCCTGTAAGTGGCGCCCAAGGGCTGGGGATTTTTCCTTATACTACAGAATGAGGGGCTTCTTCCTATTTACTGCCTTTGAAGAAAACTTACAGCGTTACTCTCCATTGAACAGGCTGTTGTGAGTTTGGCAGATATAATTACTCCATCCTATTTTTGTAGCTTCCACCAAACTATCAATTTGCCGTCCTGTGAAAGAGCAAGATATGCTGTGCTTGTTAATGTTAGCGTTGCTTAGAACTAAAGCCATTTCATAAGCCGCCTGGCTCCTCATAGGCCTCAGTTTCACTTCCTTTAGAAGCTGTTAGGCTAAAAATATAACTGACCCTTTGCTAGAAGGGAGGTATAAGAGCACTAATGATAAACCTAAAAATAAGTCCCTTCAGACTTTGAGTGGATGATTCTCTAAAATCGTAGAGGCAGCCCCAGAAGTTAGCCTTGCATGAATTCCTAGGGTTTTGTACTCAGGAATTCTCTCCAGGTTTTGTTTCAGACCAGTGAAGGAAATTACTGTATTTTTAAAAGATTAACCTTATTAAATAGGATTCTGGAAGAGAAGTATCAGAGCGAGAGTGGTTGCCAGCTTTTGTTTTCTCTTCATATCTGATCTTGGCAAGGGTGACTGGTTAACCAGCATTCCTTACTATATGATTTCCAATACACTACAGTGACTCCATTTTGTTAGCTAGACTCACTTCTGTAGCACTTCCAGCATGATGTGTTGCATGTTTTGGAAATGGTCACTGAACTGTGGCCCCAAAGAGTTCAAAATGTGCAGAGAAAGGGGTGTTCTGTTGCTCTCAACAAGAGTAAAAAAAAGCAGCTGCAGTTTGCCTAGGCTGAGTCTGCTGCACTGTCCTCCACCCTGATAACCAGTTCCAGAGGAAGAGGGGTATGAGAGGGACAGGTAGGGGGAATGGGTTATCCTGAGGAAACGCGAGGGGCGTTCCACAGTGCCGATTAGTACCGCCTTTGCATTCTGTGCTCCAGGTGCTTGCTTGGGCTGAGGGGTAGGTAATGTGTATGGAAGAAGTTGGGAAAACACAGCTTGGGAAGCTCCCGAGCCCCGTGCCTCTGCTCTTTTCACCGTGGAGGGCTTTGTTTGTGTCACGTGCCTTGTATATCCTTTAGGCTGCTTGTCTCCCTCAGTCCTGGCCTTCCTGTCCCTTTAGTTAAAAGTTAGAGTTGCTTAAGAATGGGAAAGGACCCTGTGTCAGAACTCAGAGGTAGAATGCGTGTCCTAGCGTGATGAGCAAGGCCTTGGGTTTGATTGCTAGAATGTGCAATATTAAAAATAACAAAGTCGTCTTTAAGAAATGATTTGAGAACATTAATCATGAAAGAAGTGAGGGCCAGAGTTAAAATAAATGACTCACCGCGAATGGGAAGGTAGTCTGATACTCCGCAGATTGCTGAATGTAAGGATTTCCCTGTGACTGGGTTTGTAGATAGACAGGCATGCTTTAATGTAGTCACCTTTCTTTGCCTTCTGTGTGGCAGCAGGTCATGCAGGCCACTGCAGCCCTTTCAGGCATGAGGAGTGCTGTTTGGGGAGGTAAAAATTAATTGGAGATATAAAAACCCCGTGATCACTCAGCTAGGAGACGAGATAGGATTCAACCCAAGTCACCCTGCCTCTGTTGCCCAATTCCTCTCATTAGTTTCTGCTGTTTCCATTTTTTGTTTTCAAGTTAATTATTAAATTAATTGATGAACTTTAAAAAGGGAGTTGTTCAGTAGGAGTCATGAGAGGACTGGCTTGGACTCTCCCCTGCTTGTACAGCTATGACACATTTCTGTAACCCAGCCTTGCCCAGGACAAGTATTTTACAAGTCAGTACTATTTATGCCTCCCCCAACACTTCGGAAAAGAGAATAAATGATTAGTGTTGAATGTTTCCTAGATGCGTGCAGCATTAAATCATAAGTGAAAGGAGACAAAAAAGCTGGATAGTGTTAGATTTCTGTCTTAGATTTCATTCATTCAGTGTCGATGAACTTTGCAAGACAGTGGTCTGGTTGACAGAAAGGTCACCAGTGCAGAACCTCTGTTTCAGCTTGTGGATCGTAGAGCGAGCGTGTTTCACCATACTGCGTTAAGTGCAGAGAGACAGAGACAGAGAGACTAAAGCCAACGCACTGGACCTCACCCACACCTTCCTAACTCCCTGAGGCCAGTTAGTAGCTGCCCAGCCTTGCAAGTCAATAGCTGGGAAAAGTGGGTATGCTGGTTTTGCTCCTTTCTTGTGCTGTCCTTCTCCCAGAGCAGCCGTGCTGTAGGTTTGGGTTGCGGCTCGAGTAAATAGACGCAGACTTGGTTTACACTCTGTGCCTGCTCTGATGGATGTCGACAAAGCTGCTAGTACAGACTTGAACTTTTTTTTCCTGTTCAAAGAGAAAATTAAAATGAGCGTATGGGAGCAGGAAATTCAATATCTGCCAACACTGGTTTTAAAACTCAGTCCTTATTATTAGTAAAAGCAGCTCTGGATAGTTAGAAAAACAATGCAGGGAACCGCAGAACGTGCTCTAGGGCGTAAGATGACCACGACTGCCTTGTCTCCCCTGCAGTCCGGTAGTGCACCCCACTTGATTCAGGCATGTTTGTGTGGA